ACTCCTACAGTTATCCTCCTAACTTGACTGCTACATCCACTACGGTCCGAACTTAGTTGTTATCACAAACAGGTAAAGACTCCCGCTATAGTTGACATCTTAACTGAACTCCTACAGTTATCCTCTTAACTGGACTGCTACATCCACTACGGTCCGAACTTAGTTGTTATCACAAACAGGTAAAGACTCCCGCTATAGTTGACATCTTAACTGAACTCCTACAGTTATCCTCTTAACTGGACTGCTACATCCACTACGGTCCGAACTTAGTTGTTATCACAATCAGGTAAAGACTCCCGCTATAGTTGACATCTTAACTGAACTCCTACAGTTATCCTCCTAACTTGACTGCTACATCCACTACCCTCCGAACTTAGTTGTTATCACAAACAGGTAAAGACTACCGCTATAGTCTATTTAATTACTCCGTATTTAAAAAGATCTTTTAACAATTTTATTAACATATTATCATCATTGTAAAATATTTTGTATAAATTTTTGTTTTAAATAAATATACTAATATATATTTCACCAATTTAAAACTTATTTTGCATATGCATCTATATTTAAATTATATTTTTTGAAAAAAATATATCTTATTTTTTTAAAAACGATAAATCATTTCTCTTTTACTTTTTTTAAAGAAAAAATATTTATCTAACACATATTACTATATTATCCCGTCACTCCTTTTCATGAAATGGCGTACTAAAATTTCGGACTAAATTTTCCCGTCCCGCCTATTCCTAAAATGGCGGACTAATTTCACATCCCTCGTTGAAATGTCGGTCTAAATTTTCCCGTCCCGCCTATTCATGAAATGGCGGGACTCTTCTAAAAATTCCAGTCTATTATTCGTCCCTTTCCGCCTTGCCCGGCCTATATAAATACGCAACTATAGGTAGGGTTTTCCCAATCTTCTTTTCCTTATTGTCTGCGAAAATAAAAAAGATCATTATGTTCGATTTTACAGTAATCCTCGAGCATGATCCCAAGTTCAAAGAGCGATTGGTTTGTTTATTATACGTAGTATTTTCTTAATTTTTTTTAAAGTTATATTTTATAACTCACTAATTCATTGTATCTGATGTAGGAACTACCCCGACATGTTCAATTTTGTTTCTCGGATAACACAGTTGTGACTCTCCATTCCAAACTAGCGCCACACACTTTTGAAGTAAAGGTTCAAGCATGCAGCCATGGCAATATGTTCTTCAGGGAATCATGGCCAGCGTTTGTTGAGAGTCATGGCCTAAATGAGAGTCATGTCCTGTTTTTTCAAAATTTTGGTGATTGTGATTTTGTCGTCCATATCCTGAAATACGCATAAGGGTATTTTCATGCGTATTTGAAGTTTGATTTTATGAATTTTTAAATAAAAACTTTTTATATTGGAAATCATAATTTCACTTCGCACCATAATAGTACCATTCGAATTGTGGTCAAATACTCGTCGAGAAGGTCGAATGTATAAAACAGATAAAAACTGAATTTATTCCAATAATATTGAATTATTATTTTTATCCTTATTATTATTAACACAATATAGACCGAAATTTAAATCTTATTTAAGAATGCCAACCGTTCACCAATATCTTTATCTACCAGAATGCCAACCGTTCACACTTATCTTCATTCATGTATTTAATAACTCCGTACTAATTAGGGTGTAAAAGTCCCTTCGTTTTCATTCAAATATCATTCAAATTCGCCCCCCTCCCTATAAATACATTGCACCCTCTCCAGATTTTAAACACACTTTCTTCAATGTATTCCATATTTCCATATTTTACAAGCCTATTTCTTTACAATCATCAAAACTTCTCACCTCTCTTTCGTAATGGTTTTACTCAATTTTGTAAAACGGTTCTAATGGTTATCTCGATAAGGCAAAACGGTCATAATGGTTATCTCGTATACCATTATCCGTTTTATCTCGTGTTTTCCACAAGGAAACAACCCATCTTTACTACTGCAACATTGATTCAAACGAAGACTACGTAATTCCTGTTAGCAGTGTAGCAGCTTGTGTAGAGACCGAAATATTGAAGAGAAGGCAAAACGGTCCTAATGGTATACTCGATAAGGCAAAACGGTCATAATGGTTATCTCGTATACCATTATCCGTTTTATCTCGTGTTTTCCACAAGGAAACAACCCATCTTTACTACTGCAACATTGATTCAAACAAAGAGGACGTAATTCCTGCTAGCAGTGTAGCAACTTGTGTAGAGACCGAAATATTGCAGCTTGTGGTCAAATATTAGTCGGGACAGTCGAAGTCATTCATTTTGGATATTTGTTGATCTCAACGTCCCTCTCTATTATTATTATTATTATTATTATTATTATTATTATTATTATTATTATTATTATTATTATTATTATTATTATTATTATTATTATTTTTATTATTATTATCATTGTCATTATCATCATCATCATTAATATTAATGGACGAAATTACATCTCATTTAACTTCCTGAGCTCTTAGAAATTAACGAGAGTAATAAAAGCTGATTTGACCGCTCTTCATTACCCGGTTTGCATGCTCACACTTATCTTCTTCCACTTTAATCATTACTCCCACCGTCCTACAGCTACTACATATAGTGTTCTTCCCGGTTCATTTTACCATGTTTGCCCTACTTTATTTTCAATTCTATTTATTTGATTGTAGGTGTAAAATTAAAAAATAAAATTTATATATTTAAAAACTACATCAAATGTTCTACAAAAAAAGTGGTGACAAGACTATATTATTTTATCAAATACCTAATGAGAATAGGTAAATAAAGTGATTAAAGTTTGACCGATTAAAAAGTGTGTGGGAAGAACATTATAGGAGGGAGTAACTAATTACTGCGAAAAGTCCATCCGAAATGTGGTCAAATATCAGTCGGGACAGTCGAAGTCATTCATTTTGGATATTTGTTGATCTCAACGTCCCTCTCTATTATTATTATTATTATTATTATTATTATTATTATTATTATTATTATTATTATTATTATTATTATTATTATTATTATTTTTTATTACTATTATCATTGTCATTATCATAATCATCATTATTATTAATGGACGAAATTACATCTCATTTAACTTCTTGAGCTTTTAGAAATTAACGAGAGTAATAAAAGCTGATTTGACCGCTCTTCATTACCCGGTTTGCATGCTCACACTTATCTTCTTCCACTTTAATCATTACTCCCACCGTCCTACAGCTACTACGTATAGTGTTCTTCCCGGTTCATTTTACCATGTTTGCCCTACTTTATTTTCAATTCTATTTATTTGATTGTAGGTGTAAAATTAAAAAATAAAATTTATATATTTAAAAACTACATCAAATGTTCTACAAAATAAGTGGTGACAAGACTATATTATTTTATCAAATACCTAATGAGAATAGGTAAATAAAGTGATTAAAGTTTGACCGGTTAAAAAGTGTGTGGGAAGAACATTATAGGAGGGAGTAACTAATTACTGCGAAAAGTCCATCCGAAATGTGGTCAAATATCAATCGGGACAGTCTCTACGGCCCTCTCTATTATTATTATTATTATTATTATTATTATTATTATTATTATTATTATTATTATTATTATTATTATTATTATTATTATTATTATTATTATCATTATCACCATCATCATTATTAGTAATGGACGAAATTACATCTCATTTAACTTCATGAGCTCTTAGAAATTAACTAGAGTAATAAAAGCTGATTTGACCGCTCTTCATCTACCCGGTTTGAATGCAAACCGCTCACACATATCTTCTTCCATTTTATTTATTAACTAATTACTGCGTAAAGTCCATCCGAAATGTGGTCAAATATCAGTCGGGACAGTCGAAGTATTCCATTTTGTAATTTTATGTGAACAAGTTTTAGAATGTACTACCTCCGTCCCACTATTTTTGTCCAGTTTTGACTTAAAAATGAAAGCGGATAAAATAATACTGCAATTCCATGCAATTATATGTATCCATGCAACTCCATGCAATTCCATGCAACTCCATGCAATTCCATGCAACTCGTGTTTACATGCAATTCCATGCAATTCCATGCAATTATATGTATCCACCACATAATTAATAATACTGTTAATAATATATGCTATTCCTTGAAATCATATGCATCCACAATATATTTATCCACCACAGAATTTATTTTTTGTTTCTACAATGGTACTCCTTGCATATGTAGTAAGCAATTTCTAAACGCATGTTGGCCATCTTTTCTTTTGTCATATTCTCCAAAGATTTAAAATCCTGATGTTGTGCTCCCAACTCTAACATTTTTACCGCGAAGATGCCGCAGTCACAATCAATCTGTTGGGGTACTGTGCAGTATTCAAATTCCCAAGCGGCATATCCGTGCTTGCCGATTTCTCTAATTCCAGCAATGCCTTTAAACCCCATAAGATCATCCTTCAGCAAACCAGCCATCCTCTCAATTGAAATTATCCTCCTAAGGGAGTCAAGCACGACGAGGCGGCACCTCTCAAAGTCAGCCTTGATACAGAACCAATGTGACTCTGTGCCTTTCAAATAATATACGTACTTAGTGTTCTTATTCCAGGCTTTGGTTTTAAATGCTTCCGGCCCCTCGCTGTATGTACCATCCACAATCTTTTCAAGGGGTCCAGACAAAACAGGCCACTCTGGGTCAGTCGCATAAGAGTTCACGTAATTGTTGAATTCAAGAGGCGCAATGCATGAGTCTCCATCGTCATTGCATAAACGTCTTCTCAGGACGTAAAGGTACTCACTCAGATGCTAGTTAACAAACAAAAGTAATATGTTATTAGAAAACGAAAGATATAAGCATTGTTTGTGTACGAAGAATGAAAGGTTAATGCAACTTACAGTATCTGCTACAAAAAAATCTGGAGTGATAAGGTCAGTCCAGAACGTTTTCACAAAATCCTGAATCTCCTTGTGTTGGGCGAGGTAGCATTGTACAGGGCGGTCATCTTTAATTGCTTTTACGATGAATCTCTTAAATTCCAAAAGATCTGCTTTAGTTGGCGGCTTAGATAAGAGCTCATCGGCTTTCTTTTTCTTCCTCCCGTCCGCTGTATAAGGAGACTTCAAACTGGCTGACTTCTTTTTCACTCTCTAAAATAAAAAAATAAGTGAATTACTTCGGAATCTTAGAACACAATAAAAAAGCACTTGAAGTAAGAAGCCAAACCTTTCCATACACAATTCCATCAGTAATTTCAGCCTCTTCTCCCAATTCCTTCGGGGGAGAAACAACCTACAGTTAAATAGAGTGTAAATAAACATGATCTAAATACTTCAAGAACAAGACTGCATTTTGACTGCAAAGAATCCAGAATTTACCTTGTCCTGCTGAGTTTTCATAGAAGCAGCATCGTCTGTTTCCATGACCTCATGGCTAGGCTCAACCTACAGAGAATTCGAATACATTTGAAAACTTAGACTGCATTTCGAAGGCACTTGTAGGAAAGTTTTTAATTTTACCATTTCATGCAGAGGCTTCAGAGGTTTCATAGAAGCAGCAGCAGCGTCTGTTTCCATGATCTCATTGCTAGGCTCAACCTACAGAGAATTCGAATACATTTGAAAACTTAGACTGCATTTCGAAGGCACTTGTAGGAAAGTTTTTAATTTTACCATTTCATGCAGAGGCTTCATTGAGGTAGCATCTTCTGTTCCCATTGTCTGGTGGGTAGACTCAGCCTGCAGACAAGAACAAAAAATATGAATCTATTTTCGGAAGGCAAATGCATTGTAAGTTAAGATTAGAAATTACCTTCCTGTTCTCCAAACTAAGAACAGAATCAGAAAGAGTTGAAAGTTGATTTTCGTGCTCTTGTTCAATTTCCCCAAAAATGTGGAGAATACCAAGTATTGGACAATTTGGAGAAACCTATAGAGTATGAAGTATGAAAATGATGAGAAAGAAGAATGAAATGATATTATTATTTCACTTAACATATGCAAACAAATGAAATAACTCTATTAAACCCCAAACCTTATGGTCAGGGGAAGGATTTCGTGCCTCAGTCTCCTCACAATCACCCATGATTGTCGTCTCTGGAACCTGAACGTTAACAGATCTTACAAATGTTAAACTGAACAAAACGTTTCGACTACATTCGAGGTATTCGACTATACTTCGACGTACCTCCTGCGGATTCTTGGTTGGTTCTTCTCCTGATTCAGTTACATTCACCTTCATATTTTTACATAAGAATAGATCAGTTCTGATCAATTAAAATTATTGGATGACTTTCAAAAGCTTTCATCATACCTTATTCACAATCTTTTGATTTATTAAAGTTGACAAAGCATCAACTTTTTTTTCAAGCACTTCAAACCTCTTTCTTTGTTCTTCTGCAATGTTATCAATTTTCTTTGACATTCGATCAAAGAGTTCTTGAAAGGTATTGGATGAAGGCTT